CTGAATTAGTTGGCAACTAATTTGGTAATCGATTAAGTCGATTAGTTGTTGTTGTTGCNCTTTATTGACACGAGTACACTTTTTTATAAGAATATAGTCTAAACCACAGAAATGACTCCGGAAAAGCTGCATATAGAGCCATAAGAAATGAATGCAACTGATTTTATCCGCGCGGTTTGGCTTTATGAAGCAAACGGTTACGTCATGACGCATTACCATTCGGACTGTGGGCGGTGTGAAACCTAAAAAGCTCTTGCACGGAGCTTGAACCGGAGTTGCGTTGGTGTGGATGAGGTATTAGTCATTTATTTCCAGGAGTGAAGTAATGCTGTTGTGTGTGCATTGATTGTGAGGTTTCTTTTTGTTAGCCAACTTGGAAGTTAGCATTGCAAGGGCTCCCTCGGCAAAATTCAATGGGAGTTTTCCATTAGACTTCGTTATATGTTAAACAAATAAGATCTTTGGCAAACACACAACTATGATACTTGATAATCTGCACATTTAAAGACCACTTTATGATTTTTTGAAGCGATAATGAAACTGCAGAAGTAAATTCCTAACGTTAGGCTATAAACAAACTACATCCCAATCTCATGACATCACCACCGCTAAGCTAAAGGCGGCTAATGTTGGACGTGATGGCGTTTAGTCGTCTCATTAAGTCCCTTATTAGCAACCACCGTTTTTAAATTCGTATTTTATGTTGCAACGAAACAAACGTGTAACATCTCTTCAGCTTGTGTTAACCACAGCTTAATCATGGATGTGTACTTATTTGGTTTTATTTTTATATTTTAGTAACATCTGCTTGTCTTCTCTTTTTTTTGCCTTTTATCTGCAATGTCACTTTTGCAGTAACGCTGTAAATGTCCTTGCTGCGGATATAATAAAGGATTTCTGATTCTGCTTTTGAGATCTTATTTCAGGGATTTAACCAAAAACATGTTAAAAACAGCGTTAATTCAGTGATCAGAAGTGGTTCAATTCTGACTCATTTCCGGGGTTTGAGACCGATTCCTGCACCACACATAGACCTAACATATACTCTTGCCCCATGTGGACTCCAGTTCGGGTTCCTAAATGTCATTCCTGCAAGTTTTAAAGCCCACTTCACCTTCATGAAGACGATCCTCTTAGATATTTAATTGGCCTTCTCATTTAAACCTCATTTGGTACTTGCTTAAATGCAAGTATCTCTTCACGGCGGTCTATTCTTAGGCCTTATAAATATTCAGTTCATCCATAATTATCTTGATTATAATCAAGTGTTTCACAATCATGTGTAATTAAATGCTGCAGGGGTTTTGGAAACCTGTCCTTCTTTAAAATGTATTTACTGCATCAGACTCTTTAAACGTTAGAAGTCAAATCAATAAAATGAATGTTATTTTAAATGTAATAGTTGAAAAAATTATCCTACCATACGGTTTAGCTTGTGATCTCTTTTCAGTACAGTGTGCTTTTGGCCTGAAGCAGAACGACCCTCTGTGGGGAACAGGCTCCTGAAACATTGATGAGAAGGCATACATGCACTTGTCATATTGAAAAGTCATCGCTCTGTATTTAGTCTAGACTCTAGAGCTATCTATACCAGAGCACTTGAATTCACTGGTGGAAGAAGTACTCGAAAAGCACTCTGTTATAAGTAAAAGTACTATATTCAAATGCTTACTAAAAGAGGCTATATTATGCTTTTTGGGGTTTTCCCTTTCATGTAGTCTGTTAAATGTTTTTGTTTGCATGTAAATGGTTTGCAAAGGCTCAAATCCCAAATGTCACTCCAGTTGGAGTTTCTCCCCCACACACTCCCACCCTGCCTGAAACGCCTATTGGCTAGCGCTCCAACACATTGTACGGGATTGGCTAAGGGGCGGGACCTCTTTAAGTAGTTACAACAGATCACAACAGAGCATGCCAGCTAACCAATCAGATCAGACTGGGCTCTAGTTTCAGAAAAGAGGGTGAAAAGAGGTGAGGCAGTATTAGAAAAATAAAGAGCTTGTTGAACATTAAAGCATGGAGACATGTCACAGTAGAAGCATGTTGTAACGAATGCTATCAAATATATATAGTGGAGTAAATAGTACGATGTTAGCTTCTTAAATGTAGTGGAGTTTAAAAAATACTCATTAAAAGTACAAATACCACACAATTAGTACAGTACTTGAGTAAATGTACTTTCCTTCACTGCTTGAATTCCCTTCAGCTAACCAGAGCATATGTCTAACTAAAGTAATGTGGTGTGCTATAGTTATTCNAACCAGACAAATATAGCGTTCGGAAATCACAGCGGTTGAGACCAAAACGATCTCTTACACGATTATAATTTCTATCATTTAAAACAGCAGAATTATTACAACGCCAAGCAGTTTATCTACAATATACACACAGACACAAGCTCTTTTGCTCTTAGACGGAGGAGGCGCTCAAGCAGTCCACAGACTAAAATCTTTAACCTCAAACAGTTACAAAAATAGAACCTCTAAACCCTTACCCATAGACCCACAAGAACCACCCCGTCCACACCATGGTTTTGAAACAGCCAGTTTACGTAGTTAGACATCAGACAGGTACGTATCGTGTACCCACTCTACCGCCTCCTTACGCGCTCGTTATCAACTTCAAGGACTCACAACAAAACTCCACACACTCAAACTTATTACTGTAACAGTGGTCCAGAGCCTACACCTGTACTCGAGATGACCACCGTACATTACTTATGTACTCAAATCTGTAACACTTTACAGACCACTATTGTAGCGTCGAAGACAGTACATAGTATCGTTTTCCCACGTAGTAGTGTTAAGCTGTCACCTACGTTATTAATCTCTACACCCCAAGAGTCTGAACTACAAAACACAGAGGAACCTCGAGCAAGAAACAGATCATACGTAGACAATACAGGGGTAGGTGTTCAATCTATTTGCTATAAAGCGATAATGCAGTAGATCGTACGAAATCTATTTGTTGAACTCATATATTTTGAGTTGTAACAAACTATGAGTTACAGGGAATACCTTCAATTATTCTACATAATCATTGTCTTCAATGAGAATAAAACAATATTTCAAAAAGTCGATAAGACAAATGATCAAGACAGTAGTCTAATGCTAAACAGTTTTGTACAACAAAGAAGACTACACTTTTATAATGAAATAAAATAATACTTTATTTCTATTGTACCCATTAAAAAAAAAGTGATTCTCATAACAATTCATATTAAACTTACTTATATACATAAAAACTTAGTTCGACTACTCACTATATAGAGTAAATAACAGAAGATACATTTCAATGGTGATTTACAGTGATGTTTAGTAGTCCGTATATATCGTATTTAAACTCCTACAACACACAATAAGTAGTATTTATACTCGCATATAATGTTTTTGTAGCAATAATACATGACATATATTTTTTAAATGTCTCCAGTACCGATAAAAAGACCAATAACTTTGGAGCTTAACGGCGCGTAAAACACACGTGATGACGTCACCAACGAATCGACGACTGAATTAGTTGGCAACTAATTTGGTAATCGATTAAGTCGATTAGTTGTTGCACCCCTATTGGAAATGTACCGTCCTGCCGAGTTTACAGTTTGGAGATTATAGTCTCCTGACTGTGAGATGATGCTAGCCTGCAGCTGAAATTGGCTCCATGGTGGGAAGAGCCTTCTGTAGAGGGGCTGCAGTAACCTGTCAGTCACTGGGCCATAGAGCAAACTGTGAAGGTGCTTATTCCACCAAGACCCGTAAGCTGCTTACCATTACAGCGAGCTTCCAATGAAAAGTCTGTTATCCTCCGACAAAAACAAACGGCTAACATATTGATCGTGATATGGTTGCAACTTGTATGATCCATTTCATTAACAAAATTATCTGCCTATTATTTTGTAGGTCTATTTAATGTCAGGAAATTCTGGTCTTGCTTTTTAAACTCTTATTTTCTCACTTTTAAACAAAAGGATATTCAGTTTAATGTGATATAAAATGGAGAAAAGTATGATGTCTCCATATTTGGGAGGTTACAAACTGAGTTTTCTGACAAATTCAAACGATTCACAAACTTGACACAATAGGGTCTGAAATAATGATCAACATATCCGTGCAAGTCATAACAGAAAAATCAGCGCTCAGCGTCTCGCAACACTATCAAAGTTTTAGAGGAATACATTTTTAATCCTCTCTGTTCAGAAGGATGTTTTTTTATTTGGCTGTCATGTCATCTTTTGTGCTCCGCCAGCGTGTCATTCTAGCCATCTACTCTCTCTGTAGAGATGGTAAAAACGTCAACATTGTTAATGTCTTTCATTTTTCATGTGACATTGAAATGACATTTGCGAGGTAAAATGCTCTTCAGAAGAAGAAAAACATCTTAAAATATTTTATTTCTGTCAGGTTCAAGTGCTTTTGTGATGAGCAGTCAAACTAAAGTGTTTGGGTTGTTTTTCTTCACTTTCAGTCTTCTCCAAAATACAGTTTAGTGTTGCATTTATGCTTCCTGATCCCGGATGGGTGTTTTGAGGACAATACAACATTGCTCTGTGTCTGCTCTCGTGTTTACCCAACCAATAAAACTCCTATCCCGTAGATCTATAAAAGATTAGGAGATGCCTCTCTAAATGTGCTTGTATGCACACAAACCATCTTGTCATGTGGGTTTGAAAGACTGTCTGTATTAAATAGTTAGCACTGACTGAAGTACTAGATGAGACGGATACAGGAAGAGGGGAGACCGCTGCGAATAGAATAATAGCTTGCACCTTGACATTTTGAAAAAAGTAAAAGACCATAAATCATGATGCCATATTTGGCCCAATTATACAGCTCTGAAAAATCATGTGACTGGTCGGTTTTATGCCGTGCTGGTGGAGCAGATGTCTACATAATGCATCCTCAAGGTTTCTCATCTGTTGAAATTCCAGTGTTTATTCAATTATGTCCATAAAAACACATGACCTAAATTAAAAAACTTTTCCTCCTTTTCTTGTCTTACAGGTTTTCATTTTTCTTGAACCATCACTATGATAATCAAAGAGCTGTGTTTCGACTTTACACCGGATCTCTCCCAGCTGTGATGGAAAGGCAACACTGACTTGAGAAGGACCATAAATCCTGGATGCTATAACGTAAGGGACGTTGTCAATCAAAGATGGAGAAAAAGAAACCATGCCCTCGCCTCCTCGACTACCTGGTGGTGGTCGGAGCAAGGTAAGAACTCAACTTGAACTGATATCGTACTTTTAGTTTAAAGGAGTAAACGGGTCATCATAGGGAGAGTCTAAACACTGTTTTGAAAACGACTGTTTAGGCATAGCAGTAGTTGAGGAAATATAAAGTATTGGACTGATTTAACATCGATTACATTTTATCTCAAGCATATACATAAATAGATTTTGTGTGTTAGGGATATTGATGTCGTCATGACTCAATCATTTTGAATGATTTTGCTGCTCAAGGGGATGTTGTTGCAGAGATTCCAGCAGATAAACCCAGAGTGATCACACAAAAATGTGCACAAGGCAACATCATCACACAAACGCTGTATGTGTTAGTTAGCCCACCTAGCACCTACAGCTAGCTTTAGCTTGAACCTTGGCATTGTGCTAGTTACCGGTTTACTTTACAAATGTCAAGAGAACATTTGAGTTGCCTCAGTTTCCAGAGTCGTATAACGCCGCCTCACAGGAAATGAAAAACCGTGGTGTCTTGGCATATGATAAGAAGACAAACTGGGCTTCCTGGTTGTCAAATCCTCTTCTTATTCTACCCTGCGAAACACTCCTTAACATTATCCCTCTATTCCTCTCTTATTGTTTTGTTGATCTCAACACAGTTTTGTCATTTGTTTATTTTAAGAGTGCACTTGATTGAAACTTCAAAGATTTAGCTTTGGATTGCATGCAGCACCGTATATGTGGCATGCATAAAGAAGGATAGTAGCACATTGTTTCAAGCACAGTAGCCACAGGGGGAAAGGACAATTCACATGAACACCTTGAAATTAGAGGATTGTCAAGTATGCCGCTGTTTTTGGAGTCACACTCCGAGGATCTCTACTGAATCGTTTAAGAAATGATGAATGCTTAGTTGTGGTTGGGATGGTTTTTAGTAGTGGCTTTACGTTTCTTGGAATTTAGCAGCTAAATATAGTTATACATATTGGATTTGCAGATACATCAGATGTGAGTATGGAAAACATGATCATAAAACCACATAACTCATGATGGGCGCAACACAACAGCTTCTTTTAATACAAAGCAAATATTGTCCTTTTCTCCTCCAGGCAACCAAGTAGTGACAGTGTGGCCCAGACCCCTCAGCTCCTCCGCCGCTACCCGCTGGAGGACCACCATGACTTCCCACTTCCACCAGATGTGGTGTTTTTCTGCCAACCAGAAGGCTGCCTGAGCATACGCCAGCGCAGGGTTAGCCTTCGCGATGATTCGTCCTTTGTTTTCACGCTGACAGACAAGGACTCGGGAACCACTCGTTACGGAATCTGCGTCAACTTCTACCGCTCCTTTCAGCGAGGGCATCATCGCGCCCGTGGGGACAAAGGTGGCCATGCGGAGACGTCCTCACAGGCAGCAGAGACCGCTAGTGATGGATCAGATGCCAGCAGTGGAGGCCCACCATCCTCAGTGTTATCGCCACCTAACAATGCTGAGTCGACAGCTACTTCCGGGGAAGAGAGCGGAAAGCCAGGTGCCGAGCCAAATGCCGGCAAGTCCCCGCAGCACAGACGCAGCGCCGCTAAGATGGCCGCCAGGAACCGCAACAGCACGCTGACCTCACTGTGCATACTCAGCCACTACCCCTTCTTCTCCACCTTCAGGGAGTGCCTTTATATTCTCAAGAGGCTGGTGGACTGCTGCAGTCAGAGGCTCACCCAACGAGCTGGGCTCCCTCGCACCACCCAGAGGTGAGACTGGCTGCTCTTTCTTGTTGCTTACTCTCTTTTTTTCTTCTGCTTACCATTTCATCATGGTCCACATCAAAACATACATGAACTGTTTTAGGCCTATCTTGGTTTCTTAAGGGGGTTCTTCTTTAGCTGCTATTAACAATGATTTCATTAACTAGAAGTCAGTTAAATACGGATTATATTCATGCTTGCCAGTTGATGATTGCTTATTGCTTTTGAGAGTCCATGACCTTTTTTGTTGAGCCACCCTCAGGCCTTTGATCACAAGTGCTCATCAGGCGGATCGCCCCGAGTACGTCCATATGGCCAAGGGCATAAAACCTTTGATTTAATGAAACCATGGCATTTACTTTTCGACCATGAATTGTTATGACTGACATGTTTGCTATGTTTATTTAACTCTGGACTTTACAGCCTCGATTGGGATGAGGCTGTAAGTCATAAAGAAGCCGTCCCCTGATAAATGTGTACATGCACACCTATGAAACCTTTAAAAAAGAATGAATCGCTCTGCTTGAAAACTATAATAATTAGGTAAATACAGCTCATGCTTGTGTTACCCTTCATCATCTGTAAACTGTTGATTAACATAATTGCAGTCATACTGATATTGCATGCAAACTATGAACCACAGAAGACAGGGTTGGCACAGTTGCTTAAAATCCTTTTTTTCTCAAGAAGGCTGATGTTTTTTTTACAATAAATAGCAAAGATGTGTTGCTCTTACAGTGTTCCTGCTGATATTGTTGCCAGTCCCTACGGATTCTGCCCCCCCCTCCGTCTGTTTCTCCCATATTCCACCTGTTGTGCGTTTGTTTATTTGTGTTGCAGGAATATTCTGAGAGCCTTTGTCTGTGGCTCCATGCAGTTTTGCAGGCCATCTGCAGCTTGTGTCACATTGCGCTTTATGCTATCTCAACCCACCTCAATGATAAATAATAGCGACAAAACAACAGCGCGTTGGAAAGGTTTTGTTTTGCAGCAAATATGATTTCACCAAGTGTGTGATATATGTTAAGCTGAGTTACAAAGAACGTTTTTTTAGAAAACAATATAGGATATAAAATGTTTTCTTTTCGAGTAGCTCAGTGGGGTAATTTCTATTGATGGTTGAGATGCGTTTTGGTTTGCCACTGAGGCAAGGCTGAAGGTACAACTCTTCTCCAGGAGCTTATTGGTTTTCCTTCTGAAACACCATAGGGAGGAATAGCAAAGTCATTTGCCGGTTAGACTTTAGGTGTTCAACGTAATCTATGTTGATTTTTTCTTGAAGTACCACCAGGATTGATTGATTTATATTTAGCTTATTATGCAGTAAACACCCAGAGCTCGACACTGTATTTAACTCTGTGTTACATGTTTGGATGTGGCAATTTCTTTGCAGTGCTCTTTAGGTTATTCTGTTGCCATGGGTGACACATAATAGATTGCAATTTTGAAGAAGCAAAGTGTTAATTAGGCTGTCGCTTCACAACGGCTTAGGCCCAGCATGATTCTATGATTGTCGGACCCCTGTGGTGAACATGTTTTCTAGGGCTGCTACTAACAATTTCTGTTCATTATCGATTCATCTGCCGATTATCTGCCTTGTTTTTTTTTCTATTAATGGTTTTGTTTATAAAATGCCAGAAAATCCGTTATAGTTTCTCAAAATGGAAGAGGAGGTCTTTAAATGCCATTTGAATGTTTAAAAAGACATGTTCAATTAAATATGATGTCAGACTGTAAACAAAGAAGTACATTTACATATGCAGCCTAAAAAGACAAATGTTTTCATGTGAAAATGACTTAATAATGATTATTAGATTTTACAAATATTGGGTGATTTTTTTTTTTGGTCGATCCACTAATCAACTAAATGAGGTAGCTCTAATATTTCCGTTCCATTCCCTTATTTATAACTGTATATATGTATAAGTGCAGCTTTCCCCCTCATCACTACAAAGGATTGTAGGAATGGTTAACCTCACATCTAGACCTGTTCCCCTGGTAAAATGCTGTAGCGGCTCCCCATATCATTAATATAGATCACTGGTTTCCCTGAAAGCCTGGAGAAGGACCTTTTAGCCAAAGGCTCACCCAACCTCATCATGTTTTTCCCCCCGACATGGTGGGTTGAAAAGTGGTGTGGCACTGACGGAGAAGGAGGAGAGCCGCTGCCTGATAGCTGCGAGCGCTTGGTGCTGTGGTGCTCTGACAGATTGAGGTCTCTGGCTGCCTTTGGGTAGCAGCTGCAGTTGGTGGGAGGGCTCCAAAGGACTAATGATTGTCTCACTCCTTGCCCCACACACACACACACACACACACACACACACACACACACACACACACACACACACACACACACACACACACACACACACACACACACACTCCAGAGAGGGCTTAATGACACCATGTGTGTGGAGAGTGGAGGGTTTGCACATCAATATTGCGGCAATTAAAAGCTTATTTTTTTCAATCTCATTTGTTAATTATATTAGTGATTTTATTTTGGTTTGCTCATGGTAACTGTTAACACCAATATAATGAGCAAATTATTTTATTTTATTTGTTTTAAATGTCTGGTCCTCAAATTAATGATTTGTAGCATCGAGCAGCTAGCAACAGTTGTTTAAGAACATATTTGTCATCATTGTTCCTTCATTTGACAGAGATTGGGATGGGTAATCATGCTGTTATATGCAGTGGGGTTACTCATAACTGTTCAATTAGCTTGGCCCATGAGAAGCAATCAGTTGCAGTTGTGTTTCGTTTTAAGAGTAGCATTTGCAATGACATAGCAGTGTCACTTGAGCTAGTGCTGAAATGACTTTGACATCTTTTATGCTTTAGGTCTATCAAACCATGATGACAGATATTTAATGAGTTCTCAGATTTGATGATCTATTGTCTCTCTGGGTTTTATTTCATTACAAATGTTATATCTCATGTTTAAGATAAACCTTTTAAAAACCACCACATTGTTCCATGACATGATGTCTTCAAATTGCATGAACGTCATGGCATTGGACTGATAAGTGAAAACCAAACAATTTAAAGATATCACATTGGATTTAAGAAACTTGAGGTTGATTTTTCAATTTCATGAAAGTGAACGAGAATAATCTGTAATGAAATAATAAAAAGTCGAAAAAGAATTCTGAATATACTCTCTGTTTATGACCTTCCCAGGGACACGATGTGGCGGGTGTTCACGGGGGCGCTGTCGGTGGAGGAGAAAGGCAGCCAGCTGCTGGCCGACCTGCGGGAGATCGAGTCCTGGGTGTACCGGTTGCTTCGTTCCCCGGTACCAGTGGCAGGTCAGAGGCGTGTGGATGTGGAAGTCCTGCCCCATGCACTCAAACGGCCGCTCACATTTGCCCTGCCTGACAACTCCCGCTTCTCCATGGTGGACTTCCCCCTGCACCTGCCCTTAGAGCTGCTGGGTGTGGACGCCTGTCTCCAGGTCCTCAGCTGCGTGCTGCTGGAGCACAAGGTAAGGACGGCACAGCAGTGAGTTCATGGGGCAAACTGCTTTTATCATTCATTCACTCTTTGCTCTCCTTTATATAAGACCAGGAGGAGATGTGTGGTTGTCTTCACCAGTGGGATTTTATTTAAAGACTGAACTGATTTTTTCAGGGAGAATAGAGTGGCCAAGCTATATATAGTGTGATTTGATCGGTCAGGGGATACTTCAGTGCAGCTGCATGCCCCCGCCTGGATAAAATACATTTTTAAAGACATCCTGAGGAATGATGCCCAGAGTGAACTTCATCCGACATTTCCTGGGTTCCGTACAGTCCCCCGCTATAACCATTTCATGGAGAGTGGATCATCATGATAGCAAAGAGAAGCCTGCGGACACTGTATGACTAAAATGAAAGACTCCTCATCTCTGTCTCTCCTATGTTTAACACTAGAAGCATTAGTAGCAGTGTTTTACTGCTTTGGGGGGGGTGCTGCCTGAGCGGGGGGGGGTGGGGGCCTTGGTGATATATTTTTAAATCCTCTGTTTTTTTTAGCAGAGAGAGAGCTGTGGATTATTGTTATTGATTTCTCCATCCAGAGTTCTTCGGGTCAAAACCACTAAAACTCATTTAAAAATTGGAAAGCGTTTAGTTTTATTTATAAAGGCACATGTCAATGTGAAAAGTGACAGTATTATGATTATTTGCACTTTTGGTGCATTATATATATAAAAAAAAAAAAAAATAAAAAAGAAAATTATATAATATGATTTTTGTTTTAACCCTGTTTCAGGGGGGTCGCGGGCTCGTTGGCGGGGGCGCCAGCACCCTCCAAGCAATGGTGGGAAACACTGGGGAGTAATTCGAAATCCTTGTTTGAGTGGCGATTAACGGGTGTAGTGTTCTGTTGGTTGCTATTGTGTC